GGTTCTCAGGCACAGATTATGGAGGGCAGTGATGTCAGATCAGACACAGACACTGACATGACAGTGACCTGTGACCCTGACTGTGATTGGCTGTTGGCAACAACAATGAATGACTTTACAACTACCATTATTATTATTATTATTACGTGAATTAATCAATTGAATTGAAACAGAATTAGAACATTTTACTGACTGTAAACAACTGACATTTCCAGACGTCCAGCTGAAGCCTTATGGGCTGCATGTTGCTAGGCTACGCAGAGTGTTGCATTCATGGACTTTGACACTGTAGAAAAATTCTCTCAATTTCACAGCAGTCAACTGACCACTGACTGACCTCCTTGTCTGTGTCTGGGCTGCACGTGGGCCTCGGACCACCGTTTGAAAAGGCAGGTTCTGAGCCTTGTCTAATGTGAGGCTCTACAGTGACCCCCTCAGGACCATCACAGGACTGACCCGTGACTTCCACGTAGCCCACACCATGTAGGTGGGTCACAGACTGGACCTACAGACTGGGCTGCTCACACACACACACACACACAGTTGGACACGCTCCTGTCCACTAATGTACTGACTGATGTTATCACCAGATTCAGGCTCCGCCCACTGCACGTGACAACAATTGCAGAGCCACAGCTGCTGCTTCTTGTCGTTCAGCCGACCGTGACGCGGCAGTAACGGTCGCAGCAGCAGCAGTAAACAAACAGGAGGCGTCACGGCCACAGGTGCAGGGACAGGGAACGAGAGAGCGACAGACACCACCACAGACAGGAGGTGGCGCTAGAGACCAGCTGATGTCAGCCACGTCAGCCCACTGGGGGGCGCCAACACCCACCTGCTGCATACCTGAGATTACACTGCAGTCGTAAAACTCTGTATACTTTTGTACAATATATTACATATATATAGGGGTGAAAGAAAATATCAACACTGCTGACCTGTCCATCTCCTGACCTGTCCTCTCCTGACCTGTCCATCTCCTGACCTGTCCATCTCCTGATCTGTCCTCTCCTGACCTGTCAATCTCCTCCTCCTCAACTCAATATATCATCGTGACTTTAGTATCACAATATATCGCATATCATATACATATATCTTTGCACCTGTATCGTGATACTTATCGATCCACAGATTCTTTCGAATACACAGCCCTATTAAAAATATATAGATTTATATACACATATATGTACAAATATATAGAGTTTAACTTTATACTAAACAGTCTTTTAAAGCAGTATATTTTTAATGAATACAAATGTTGAAATAATGAAGACAAAAGAGTCAACAATCGAACATAAATATAAAATATAAAAGCTGCCTCTTCATGTACTTCCTGTTGGAACGTTCAACAGTACCAGAGGCCAACAGCAGGGGTCAGCTGTGGTTTCTCTGCTCATCTGAATCATTAAAGCAGGCGTGCTGCTGCTGCTGCTGCTGCTGCTGCTGCTGCTCTGGTGAGAACAGCAGGATCAGAAATGTCAGAAGCTGCAGAGGATACAGTAAGAGTCGATGCCACTTCCTGGAGCTCCTTCCTGTGTGTATCACACCCCAAACCTCATCACGTTCACCTCTGACCCCACGGGTGTGATCTACAGTTCTGCACTTGTACTTCATTAACACTGACCTACTTCTGCCCCAGCAGCTTCAAAGAGCTCCATGAAACAGAACAGAGAGCATTGTGTTGAAGACTCCACCACAGAGGGACCAATGAGAGCCATGGATGAGGGTCACGTGACGCTCCCTTCAACAAATAACAAAGGAAACGTCTAGGAAACAGATCAGTGTTCATCTGATCATCAGAGCTGACGAGTACTACAGTACTACTGTACCACAGTACCACAGTACTACAGTACCACAGCACCACAGTACTACTGTACCACAGTACTACAGTACTACTGTACCACAGTACTACAGTACTACTGTACCACAGTACTACAGTACTACTGTACACATCAGAGCAGTGTGAAGGTACATGCAGGTTTGACCAGTGGGGGGGGTCAGTGGACAGGTAGTTGGGGTTACCCAGTACGGGGGAAGGGGTACTATGGGGTACTATGGGGTACTATGGGGTACTATGGGGTACTATGGGGTACTATGGGGTACTATGGGGTACTATGGGGTACTATGGGGTACTATGGGGTACTATGGGGTACTATGGGGTACTATGGGGTACTATGGGGTACTATGGGGTACTATGGGGTACTATGGGGTACTATGGGGTACTATGGGGTACTACGATCACCTTTATTCCCACCTTTAAATGTTTCCAACATTGAATTTCAAGCCC